ACAACAGTTAACTGATTTTTTGATCTATTTGTTTACAGCGTAGTAAAATACATTTGCATGAAATTATTGAAAGTGCAACTAGCGCGTTTAGCAGCGAATATTAATCTTAATATATCACTTACGATTTATTTTTAATAATATAATGTATGGATATTGCATGTCTAATACATATTAAATAGAAATATTTATAGATATATGTTCTAATAGATGTTTAACAGAGATATAAGTTGTGTTTAGTGAAAATGTATAAGTAACAGTGGTTTTCGGCCAGACAAAAATGCCAAATAAATTGTAAAATAGATTTAATCAAACGAAATTCACTAAAGTTAACCGTACACGTACAATTTTTCCGCAAGGCAAAACTGTCCAGTAGAGACCTTGCGGATTTTCTTTTAATACGGGTCAGGTTATTTTTTTTAATGACAGTATCGTTTGTAGCATTCGTCTCAATCTCTTTCAGTTTTTCTGTCGATCTTTTTTATTCCTGTCTTTAAGGTTTTCCATACAAGGGGTTTCCATAACGCATGCAGTACATTTGTACTGCACACGTGACAAATGATATCAGAATTGGGATATCTTTTTTAAAAAAAGAGAAAACGTTGAGTATTTCATTAGTTGCTGCACATTTTCAATTAAATGCTTGATATTGTTGGTAAAAATTAAATATTCCACGTTACATACTGATACTTCCAAAATTTTTAACTCTATGCTTCCAAATTAATTCACCCCTTGCATACCAAATAAGCGTGAGATAATGTCTGTCTGATTTCTACAGGTGACATTCAAAAATGACAGAAAATACAATTTACTTGTCAGTTAAAATGACAGACACTGACAATTCTGGGTTTAAAAATCCGGACATGTTCGGGTAAATCCGGACGCATGGCAGAATTACATGTTACACACCAAATTTTGGTGGGTTAACTTTAGGGCTTACCCTACCAGACACATTTTTGTATAAGCTTATAAACACGAACCATAAAATTACCACCTTATTAAATAATGAAAAATAAAAACTGGACTAAGCTATCGAGTTATTTACATATTGCCCACGATGAAAAGAAAACAATTTTTACATAATTTCTTAAACCGCAGCTTTATTTATCTTGTGGTTGTCTCAGTTTCTTTTAATGGCTTATACTTTGATTCTTCATAGTGGTTTTTCAGAGAAAAAAACTAGAAATCCACTTTACTGGTATTTATATACAAGCTATATTTAATCACAAACAATAAATCAATATGATCAATGATTTCCTTGTATCTTTATTTATGCCTTCAGGCTTTGATTGCAACCTGCTGATGTAATAAATAACAATTTTTTACAATTATAAATTGTATTCGTTTTTGTTTGATAACTTCATTATCATTACTGTAATACTGGTTTAATGAAATACAATTCAGTAGAGAGTTGATGTGATAAATTGTAAATTGAAATATTTGAAATTGATTTGTTCGCTTTTGATGCATTTGTTGATGTGAAATAAAGGTTTTATTCCGTTGCAAAACCAGGCGAACCAGACCTGTAAACTACGGTAAAGAACGGTTCCTGAAAAACATGGTTTGATACGGAACGGTTTGGTAAAATACTGGAAACATAAAAAAATGTTGAAGTTTTCTAAATTTCAATAACTCTATTATAAAATATATCTTTTGTGCATTTCACTCTGTACCTATTCTCTGCTTTTACGTTTGCTTCTTCTTTTCAATGGAGTTTAATATTGAAAAGTACTTTATTAATAAACTGTTAAACTCGTTAGACAGCTCAAGTGAAGATTTGCAGGTCCAATATTAAAACAGATCAATAATAAATAAACAAATCTAATCAATATTTATATTTTAATAGCTTACAAAACATTCACGATTACTTGTTGTCTTGTTTTTCATGTTTTCTTTAAAATGTTCCTGTCTTTAATAAACAATGGCTTCATTGGTTTAAATGGTCCTAAAAAGTCATTTTATTAATGAAATGTATTTACCTTTACTGCCAACCTCCATTGCTTTTGGATGTAAATACAAAATATTATAACAAATTTTAGAAATTAAATGAGAATTTCACTCGAACTTCCAATATTTGCTTGATTTCTGTCACATAAATGACATTAACAAACAAAACCAGCCTTCGCGCGCTGGTTAGTTTGGTGACAGTTACAACCGAATTTTTCAGGAACCATAAATCAGGAACCGTGTTCCGTAATAAGAAAACTTTCAGGAAACCGATAGAAACGGAACATAAAACCATAACCAAGGTGAGCAACAGAATACACTCAAAATGACAGTGACAGTTGTGCCTGTCATTTTAATTCAGAAGTAAATTGTATTTTCTGTCATTTTTTCCAGATTTTGGCTCATAAACGAGTTTATCATGTGATTTAATTTAAATAAATGCGTTTAAAAAATAGTTTGAAAACAAAATATTAACTTTAATCAAATATGGTTACCCTCGAATTTGGGACACCCTGAATATATGAAATGCAGGTGAAATTTTAACACCATACCAAAACTAGTTCATAATGTTTCACTCTTTATTTGCGTAATAAAATTACCCATAAAAGCTAACCCAAAGTAAGTTATTAATCGAAATTGTATATGTACCTATAACTTGATTGAAAACAGCCTGTATTTATCAAACCGACCGAGTAAATCATGTATGAATAAATAATTCGTAAATAATACGAAAAAACATGTAATACCGGTTCGTGCAATTCGAATTCGCTTGACTGAAAAGTCGTTTGAAATTGAAAATAGCCCGATGATGGCAATTAAGCGAAAACATGCTAATTATTTGCAAATAGCCTTATCTTTCGTAATCTTAGATCGTGTGCGTATGTAACGTACAGGTTAAACGTCACTAATTATACTTAAATACCTCGCGTACATTTAAAAACGTCAAAATTTTTGTTTCATTGCCGAAGTAATATTGCGACCCGGGTTGGGTAACAACACGTAGAAAATTAATTTTCTACGTATATGTAGAAAAATGCGTAGAAAATGTCGAATATGTAGAATATTAAGTAGAAAATGACCCTCTATATTATTACATTTTTAGTTTCTACGATTAAAATCCCTTCAAGTTTTCGTAGAAAATGCATTTTCTTAATAATTTAGACCTATATCATATACCCATGGAATATTGACATTTTTAACGATAATATTACTAGCCCATTTGTATACAAAAAGAAAACTATTTAAATCTTTATAAAAGATTAAATATATCACCATTATATTTCCGCCCAAATATTAATTAATTACATACTTAATTGTGTTAGTTAATAAATTATTCTAAATAAATGTGGATTTTAATCAGAAATCAATATAATAAGTTCTGTTATTATAAATAAGCATTCGTCAAAAAATTAAATAACATTTTTAAGCTGTCACTTTTTATCACACTCTCTAATACACATACAAAATTCAGTTTTTTAGTACTTGGAGTATATTATTAATCAACGTAAACAGTCAATTAATGTAGTTTGAATACTGGGATCATAATTGGTGCACTTTAACAAAAAATATTTAAACAGTTTTTTATTTTTTAATGAAATAAGCGATCTATACCGACAATATTAGTATCTGTACTCTTTGAAAATTTGTTACCTCTTTAAAAATAATCTAAAATGTCAGTATTCCATGGTAATGGTCCATTGATAAATGAGGTCTAAATTATAAGAAAATGTATTTTCTACGAAAACTTGAAGAGATAGGTAAAAAATGGTATAATACAGTTTGATAGACAACTAAATTGTGCATCTGATTCTTATAAAATATACAGGGTGTTCCATTTAAATTAAACAAGTTATTGCCGTTTGAAGCTAGTAATTATTATTTAAAATAAATTTTTAGATACTCTGTATAACGTAGTATATTTTTTATTACAGCAACACAAAATTTAGTAAATAGAAATACTTCAGTACAATATTTGGTTTTAAAAACTTAAATACGCCTAGAGAAATGAAGCATTAAAATTATTACTGTATTTTGACAAAAACCTAAATATTTCAAAAACGGCAAGATTAAAATGCGGTAATATTAAACATGAGATTGAATAAGGTATGGACTTTTAAATAAACCCCTTCGTCATTGTATTCGTCAATATTTTCACTCTTTGTCTATAACCGTGACGGATGATCGATTTCATCGTTGACGTCACTACGTTGTGACGTGAGAAACGTCATCGGGAGCCGACGTTTCCTGTCTGGGTGAAAGTTAACCGCCACCAAGACCGATTTATCATCTGGTTTCATCTATTAAAACACTACTAATGCGCCAGTGGAATACGATCATTGTTATCTTATTGATTTATTTGATTTTTCTTTAACAATATACGTTTATTCAGAATTTTGTGTTAAAAGCATCGTCTACAGACTTCCGATACAGAATATCCATATCCATAGACAGTGGTTTAAGGAATGGGAGTTTTATCCACTAATATGAAGCGTTTAAAGTGATATTTAATCCACCAGTTGGATAATAGTTATTTTTTATAAATGGTATTTTATCGTCGACGGAAAAGATTAATTTTTAATTTTTAATTTTTAATTTTTAATTTTTAATTTTTAATTTTTAATTTTTAATTTTTAATTTTTAATTTTTTATTTTTAATTTTTAATTTTTAATTTTTAATTTTTAATTTTTAATTTTTAATTTTTAATTTTTAATTTTTAATTTTTAATTTTTAATTTTTAATTTTTAATTTTTAATTTTTAATTTTTAATTTTTAATTTTTAATTTTTAATTTTTTATTTTTAATTTTTAATTTTTAATTTTTAATTTTTAATTTTTAATTTTTAATTTTTAATTTTTAATTTTTAATTTTTAATTTTTAATTTTTAATTTTTAATTTTTAATTTTTAATTTTTAATTTTTAATTTTTAATTTTTAATTTTTAATTTTTAATTTTTAATTTTTAATTTTTTATTTTTTATTTGAACTTATGGTAGCCGCCTACATTAAGACTACAAAGAATATGCTTAATAAGACATTTTTTTCTTTTCGAATTGCAGTGAGACAAAGGCCTAACACCCCCACATCACCTGTGACTCCTACCACCCCCACCACCCCTACCGGAAAAGACCCGTTGGGCGACGACCAAGACGACATGATACCGGAGACGAGAGCGCCCCCTTTGCTGACGGACGACGGCCTCATAGCCCCCCGGAAACCGGCCAATCCGGTGAGAGAGGACCCGGGCAGGCAGAACCTCCACAAAGAACTGTTGTTCAACCAAAAAATGTAAGTAGAAAAAAAAGATATAGTCTGTCCAACGACAAGATCCTTGACAGTGATAGATGTACCTGTCATTTTAATTTCAAGTTTTTAGTTTATTTTATTTTACAAAGAAATAAGTTGGTACAAGTGGAACGCATAGCAGGAAATTAATATATTTAAAATTTGACTGATAAGTGATTACTTCAAAATAGTGTCAAAAAAACTGTATACAACTGAAAAAATGTAATCGATTTATTTTATTTTAAAAAAACGGTATGTGTTAATACAAAACAAACAAGAACAAAACATCACATACCAAAAAAATATAAAAAAGAACTATTTCTTACTTTCAAGCTTCAAGAAACTTCCCGCATTTATTATTATATTTATCAATATAACTTATGTACAAATACAAATTTGTAATATTTCACAGGACTAAATAAAACAGCATAAATAAAACAAACTAAAACACACCGGAAAAGTCTAGGGATATTACAATTTTATCGAGCCATCGTCAGTAATTTTATTATTTGCATTTCTGATACAATAAAATTAAAATAAACAAATAGTTTACAGGACGTATTGGAAATAAAAATGCGAAATTTACCGAATTTTTCAAATTTACCTTGATTTTTATTGAACTCAAAAAATTACACACATTTTTTTTATTCTAAACTGTGAATTAAGATAAAACGATTTTTACTTAATAAAGGGTATGGCCTCCTCTACTGTTCATTACAGCCCTACATCGTCTCCCCATGCTCCTGATCAGGTTGTCGATCTCTTCTTGAGGTACAGCCTGCCACGCTGCATTCGCGGCCCGAACCAGATCCCTACGAGTTTCACGAGGCATACCCATTCTCAAAATTCTTCTTTGGACCGCGTCCCATACGTGCTCGATGGGGTTTAGGTCAGGAGATTGTGCCGGCCAGGGTAAGATGTTTAATTGATGAGCATTGATAAACTCACTTACCACTCTGGCTGTATGAGGCCGTGCATTGTCATGCATGAGAATGAAGTTTCTCCCAAAATCATTGGGGGCATATGGTAACACGACAGGCTCAAGAATTAAATCACAATATGTGATTCCTGTTAGAAACCTTTCAAGAAAAACGAGATCGGTTTTTCGGCCTAACTGGACTCCTCCCCAGACCATAACTGTTCCACCTTGATAAGGGTGCACTTTCTGAACATGATCCAACTGATTAAGATTTCCCGGTTCTCTCCATACCCTTCTCGAATCCGGATGAATTCCAAAGCGTGACTCATCCGTGAAGAGAACATTGGCCCAACATGATCTTGAGCCCACAAATATCGTACCTCTCGATTTCCTCTCGTTAAGGGTTGAGCTCTCCAGGGGCGTCTGCTTCTTAAGTTAACCTCTCTTAATCTATTGCGAACAGTGTCAGGACTAACGGTTACATTATGTGTTTCCTGGAGAATTAAACTAAGCTCTGGTGCCATAAGAGTCGGTCGGTGTCGATCATTTAATTGTAAAAAATGATCTTGCTGAGGGGTAGTAATGCGATGTCACCCTGTGTGCCTTTTAGCAACATCACCCCTTTCACGGTAGCGTGCACTTAATCGCGATATTACACTTTGCGTTGTGTTTAATGCTCTAGCTACGTCGATTTGGCGCATTCCAGCTTCGAGCATACCCATGGCCCTTAGCATTTCGTCTCTGTTAAGATGTCTACGCTCCATAATGTCGTTTAATACTAAACAGAGTTATTTGAATGAATTCTGGCCAGTTATCATAAAAACATAGCCAGTACAGGTTAAATTCGAACAATTGATGCTAGGTGTTTTTTTATACATTTGAAAAAAATGCACAAACACTTCTGCAAATATCCCAAATTTAGAAATAACTAGTGTGACTAACAATCGGCCTACAAATATGTGGTTGTTTATTCAAAACATTTATTTTTAACTTTAATAAAATGATTTTTCCGGTGTGTGTATTTTATTAATAATAGCACTTACCAAATTTTATACCTTAAAGGTTGATTAATTAACTTTAATCTTAATTTTTTTGAACCAGTACCTTTTGACATTATTTTTCTGCAGTACTAAAATCCATTATTTACCTATCGTGTGATGTCGATATTTTACAGCTACTCTAGTAGTATATTATGTTTAGTACAAATTATGTTTAGTACAATCCTTGTACCATATACGAGGTGCACTTATCTACGACGAGGTGGTATACAAACTTTATTTATGATAACTTTATTGGCGTATTAGACTTTCTGCCTGGGCAACGAGTATTAACTATAAACTGTGCTCTGGGTCTACAGTTAATTTTCCCTTGATTTTTCCTCCACTTGACGTCAAAAGACACAAAACACACATAGCACGCCCACTTATGGCCTCTAAAATTGTGCACAGCGCCTGACCGGCACAGTTATTAGAGAGATATCAGAAAACCGAATAGCGTCATGCAGTATTTACGCGTACCTTATCATGGTTACAATATGCGCGAAATTATATGTCAATTTTTAACGCAACACCCGCTAATAACGTTACCGCCTGACGGAATTTGCGGATCAATTACACCAAGCGCTATTTCTAAATAACGTTTAAAAATTGCTTAAATGGGCATGTGCGGGTATTTGACAACCGTGGCCGGCCGGCGAGATCTTTTATTTTAGGTTATGTTTGAATTGTTTTGAATTATTACTTTAGTTTTATTAGGTAATTTGATATTTAAGTAGCTGGGATTAGTTTTAATTAAATAAATATGGCCCAAAATATGGATTCCACCTCTTCCAATATTAAAGAACCTATGAAGAGGCTTAAGGTGCGTATTCTTTATCCGAACGAACGAACGAACGAACGAGCGAGCGAACGAATGGAATTCGGTATATTTGGACGGTGGACCGAACGCATGCGGTCGCTCGTTTGCTCGTTCGCTCGGCCATCCGTTTCGAGTCGGTACATCAAAGGCGTTCGCAAACGAATGGGTTAAGGTGTTTTCGTTTGGTTCTAAAATCCGGTTCCGTCCATACTACTACCGAACGAACGAATAAACATTCGTTCGTTCGTTCGGCTAGTGAATACGCACCTTTAGGTTTACAGCAGATGACGACTTAGCCCTTCTAAGAGAATTTGTTGCTTGTTGCCCTAAACCCACTCTCAGACGTTGAACAATAAAGTACTGGAAATAAGCACTTTTAAACAAAACAATTTCAAAGTTTTAAATTCAAAGTTAGGTTAAGTTTAAATAGCGGACGCGACGCGAACAGAATTCTTTCCGATCCGATAACTATAAATGAAGAGAGTTAATACCACCTCACGTAAAGGAAATAACACCTGGCCTTATTAACGTCCATGCACGCTATCCGGTTTAGCGATATCTCTCTATTCAACCGCACAACTCAAACCGCACAGGAAATTTTACTCATTTGCACATCGTCATAAAAAACAATTTTCGTACCACGAATTAGGGATAAGATTTTTATCTGTATACATATAGTATACCTAATCTGTGATGTCACGTTAGTTTTTCTATACCATTTCCTTCAAAACTCTAAAAACAAATTTTTCAAAAGACTTCTTTTTTCTTTTACCGTTCTTTTCAAATGCTTAGATATACCTGTAAAACTGAGCTTAATTTTTAAATAGTCCAACAAAACCCTTACGTCACTGCCTACGCGAAAAATACACCTTTCCGTGTCTGAAACATGCCAAAGAAGAAAAGCGGGCCCTGAGTAGCGAGAGTGTCGAAACAAAAGAAATACGATCTGGAGAACACTCGTTCTCGATTTTTTCTTTAGAAATAATGACGTCGACGCTACTGCCTACAATATGCTGACGATGAGGGTTTCAAGAAAATGAAAATAAAAAATGTATAGGGCACGGTGAAATTTTAATTAGAAGGTATTTTGCTCTGCGAAGGTTGTTGAAATTGTGAGGAAAAAAATGGAAACAGGTTAAGTGGGGTCTGACCCGCTAGAATGAAGTATTTTCGAAGAAAAAGGTCTATTGTTTAAGTAATTATAGTTAAAGATTTTTAAGAATTGCCATCTCGGTGAAGCAGGAAGAATTTAAACGCAGACCTAAACCCTAGATTTTTGCCACTCATATTTTTTAATTCTTGAAATCAATTTGAAAAAAAATAGGACTCGGAGTTCTCGGAATTTAAAAATAAAACGCCGTAACAATAGCCCTTGAAGTTTGAAGAGGTAGAGTGCCAAAAAAAAATATTAGGAGTAGGCTGGAAAAATTATCGTTTATGGTCATTTTAAGGGTTACCCTGACGCCGTTTTTTTTTTCTCGATTATTTATCAAGATCTACTACAATACCCACTATATGTAGTATTTTAAGATTTGTGATTCAACCATTGTTGATCAATCTGTACTATAAATTAAAATGAAAAAAAAACGGCGTCATGATAGCCTTTGAAATTTCTGCCTGGAAACTGTCTATCTTTTTTTTCCTAAATTATGTATTGATTTTTAGTAAACTCCTATGCCAATTTTCTGCACGACATAATTTCAGTGATTGTTATTTGAAAAACCACTGTTTTTATTCGATCAAATGGTTATTCTGTTTAAGCCACAAGGTTTATATTGAATTGATACGATTAGCAGAAAAAAATTCTAGTCATTTCATATCAACAATTTCTTAAAAATATTTGCAATTTCAACAATGGGCATGATTTGTAATCTATTAATAGTAATTTTAGTATTATTGTCTAAAGTTCTCTGTTAAATTCTTGATAAAATGTCTTCAATATACTTCAGTACATTTCCAGCGGTATATAAGTATAAATAATTATGAAAATAGATAATACCTATATGATAAGAATACGGTAAAAATTCAATTGTTTACTCAGTTTGTTTACTTTTGTTACATTAGAAACCTATTATGTTTCGCGTGAATGTTTGTTAAGCGTTATCAGAAGTCCCCCCTTAAATCAAAATAAATTAGTTTAAATATTCTATATCGGGTGTGTCAAAAAGTTCAAGATATACAGGGTGAGTCTTAAATAAGTGCAAATATTTTCAGGGGTGGTATATTT